TACTTGTCAGTACACAGCAAAAAATAGGTGTTCAAGGCAGCATCCTCCCCTGCTTTCCCTTCTGCTTAGCTTGTATTTTTGCTTTCAAGCTATTGAAACTGTTCTTCCCGAAGATCTGCAAGGTCCACAACAGCACAGATCAGACAGTGTGCAGCAAACAAGGCAGCTGCTCCATACTCATGACTATCTTCTTTCTGCAATGAGCACGCTCATCCAAACTGCACCCAGAATGAGGCAAGAACCGGCCAGTTCACATCCCATTTCAGCCCATTGCAACTGTGTACTAAGGGCAAAGCTCTTCTGAAGCCCCAAAAAATTAATTTTCAACTCTGTTTACTTGATTTTGTAATGTTTGAAGAAATCACCACAGCTGACACTTCATGCCTTGAGGATGATGGCCTTCATCGTCAAAGAGGGAGGAACATGGAACAAATGAAAGATGTACATAAGCTAGGATGCAGCTAACAGCAAAGCACCTAAAAGCTTTGAGCTTTAAGCTCATTAAAAGTCACTTGCAAAATGGTTCAAATGTGTAAAGACTGTTTCTGTGTTACAGTTCCAAAGCAGAAAAAGAAAAACATTTATTGAACTAGCATCTTCAACTTGAAACTATACCATGGTCTGAGACACACTAATAGAGAGAGAAATTAAGATTACGAAACAGTGGGAGTCCAGTGAAAAACACTTCCCTTTTCTCACTTCTTTCTGCATTTGCCAGCACACTCAATAATCAGGTTCCCTGCCACCCTTCTATGTTTCTTTCACTGGGTAACAGTGGAGACAAAAGAAAAACCTTGATTCATAAAGGTGGCTAAAGTGGTGAAAAACAAAAGCATCACCTGGTGGATACTAGCCCAATTTCACTGACGTCAAAATAAATATTCAAGCGTGGAACTCACTACAGCTGTCCTGTTATGAAAGACATTACAAATTCTTACTCCAGCTCCTTCTCACACTGTTTAGTATTCTTGCTTTTTGGAAGAAATAAAATGTCGATTCAGTGTATGGGTTCTCCATTAGAGGGTATAGCTCTTGCTTTTGGCTTACATATGAGGGAGCAGAAGCATAAAGTACTCACTGTACAGATTTTCATTAATTTTCATAAATACTGTCCAAAAATAATAAAAACCAAAAACCAAACACCACCACATGCATGCAATGTCACCTGCACTGTTTGAATTTATCCTGTCTGCTTGTAGCAGCAAAAGAGAAACACGGGAAATCAAAATCTATGTAAGCAAAAATCAAATACAGTGTTCTAAGAGCATGACCAGTATTTACAGTTAGGAGCTTAGATTCAGCTGCCCCTTACAAAAAACCCTGTTTAAATGAAGCAAAAGCATTTCCTAAATTTTTCTTTTCTTTAGAGTCTCTTTTAGCTGTGAATTATTCTTTGAGCTTTTTGAAAAGAGGTGTTGAGACCCAGCAACTTTTCCTTTCAAGAGTCAAGCACTGCATGACTCAACCACATGACAAAGCATCACCTTTCTATGTTATAAAGGTTTTCTTTATTTGCACGTGTACCAATATGTATTTTTGTTTCACTCTTTAGTCATAGACTTGTGACACTCCATCTCTGTAGATGAGTCACTGATGCCATTCAGGGAATGGTCTTTTACCGTAAGTTCCCTGGAGGGTAAATTATATCACGGTAAGGAAAGGACAAAAGTGTGCCCGTCTAAAATGTATTCCAAATACTTTAAAGAATTGTTTTCACAAACAAAGCTGCAGAAAAATATTAGAGAGCACTGCATGACAAGAATGACAATCTTCAAAAAAAGCCACTGGCATTAGTAAAGCAGCATGTTGCTAGCACAGACATAGAGGACAAATCCTGCATTTCAAAACCTCAGTTCTTCCTTAGAAAATGAAACACATTTAATTAATGTTGTTTAATCTGTACTAGGTATATAACTAGTTCACAGAAAGAAACAACGAATATTGACATAGGTCATAGACCTTCTCCAGAGGTCCACTTGTTTTAGCAATGCATCGGGACATCTTCATAATAAGATTTTTTTAAAGCATTTCATTGCATCAAACCTCTGTAATGAAAAACTTGTATCATTAATTTGTGTAAGAATAAATTGTAGGCACCTGGCCACCTTTGGAATTTGCCTCTTTTTTTCCCAGGAAAATATCTGCAAGTTACAAAACTGTGAGATCTCCACAGACAACCTCCAACAGAATGAGCACTAAGACAGACCAACAAGGAATCCAACTGCTGCTGCATTACCACCACTGGCTGTATCAAAAAAAGCATTCTGCAATTTCTGTACACACAAAATTAGTTTAGAAGGCAACCTTGACTGAGCTAGGAGGAGGAGGTTGAATATACTGAGAACACAGTATCAGAGCACTGGATTTCAGTTTCCGATTGGTTACACCACAGTTTCCGTACGTAGTTAGTTAGGTAATCATACACCCTGCCTGCCACCAACTCAGCATTTCCACTTGATTTACCTTTTCAGGGTCTCACTCCAGATCATGTATTTTACCATGTTTCATTATCTAGTGGGAGCTCTGTCTGTACAATACTGATTATTTTCTGCCAAAAAGACAAACCGCCGATATGACTGTACTATTCTGCCTGCCTCACAATGTTTGCATTTACTAAGCCTGACAGATGGTTGGACTTTATTACTGGCAAAATATTTCAATAGTGTGATAGCTGCAACTGATCCAGTTTCCTTAGGCTGTTCATTTTAGAGCTTATCACAGAGGGGCTGAAGCTCAAGGACTGCAGACATGTCCAGATCTAGCTCAGCATGTCCTGAGATGGGAGGACACAGCTACACTCTTACTCTGGTTTTGGTTTAGGTCATGTTTATTTCTGAAGTTCATTGCAATTAAAATGCCCAGAATCTTCATCAAAGATTTACGTCCTATGCGAGGTTCACAGCCTTGCCCTAAGCCACTTGCCCAAATAACACTACTAGTGTACAAATCAAATGTACAATCAAACCTCTGCTGCTGTATGTTTATATGCATTAGAAAGTATGGTATCTTGAGACATCATGTATGTTTTACTTCCAAACTTTGCTTTGCTGTTTCACATTAAAAATCAACATCAATCCATGTACACCGCAGGGTAAATTTTCTTTCCCTGACCGTGCATACTTGTTATGTCAATGAAGGAAACTTCCTCACTGCAGGTTTTATTTGAAACACTGGCTCATTCAAAAAAAAAAACTTCCTAATGAGCAGCTTGGTGAGATTTGCCGCTGAATTATATATTCAACTCATTTTTTCAGCAATGATGAAATGCTCGTTTTTCTCTTGCTGCCCTCAGGAACAAACCAGATGCTCAATGAGCTAACAGACCGCTGACAAGGGGAAAAGATCTAGTGTCCCAGAATCCATCAACTGTATGTGCTATGGTGTTTGTAAATACGGGTTTGACCACATATCACAAGAAATAAATCATTTGTGTATACACCTATCCTGAATAATTTGACACAATTCAGTGTGCAGACCCTCTTTTTACAAAGTTAGTGTGCACAAGTTACTCTTCACCCAATTCTTTTTCTTCTTCTTCCCAGTCTAAATGAAATCCAGACAAACTCCCTGTAGTACTCAGCATACGCTTTATGAAGTTTCACGTACAACTAGCAAAAACTGGACCTTCAAGAAAATGTTGATTTTCATCAGTAGAAATAGTGGAGAAACTGTAGCAATGACAAAGGCCAGGTTTTTACAGCTGTGCCATCTCACCCCAGTTCTGAAAGCTGTGCCTAAGCAACAGCTTGTAACGGTGGAGAACTACGGGTTTCATTTTTTACCACTGCAGATGGGACTGTAAAATAATATCAGAAAAGAACAGAAAGCACTAATTTTTTAAAAAATCCTTGCGTTCAACATTCTGGGGTTTTTTTTTGTTGAAAGTACAAGTTTTGCTTTCTCTAATTCAAAACTGACAGAGCTGAAAGCAAATTAATAATGCAACAGGCAGCATACAGACTAAATGACATAATTTTAGACTCTTATCCAAATACCATGTTAGCTTACCTGGGGATTTTTAAATAAAGCATATTTTTCACTTTTTTCCAAAAAAAGAATCTTATTCTCAGTGTCCCGAGTCCAGTCTGATAACACTTCAACAACATTTTCATGGTCTTCAAAAAACCTTTCTGGAGAAACAGAAAAGGTAATGTAAGACACTCAAACTCACTCCCCCCTCTCCTGAGGCTGCAGAAATTCCTGTGTAAGAATGTAATCATTATCTGATGTTCACTCAGAGCTGGACAGCCCAGCACTCTTTTCCACTGCACAGAAGGGAGCAAAACCACATGAAAAGAGTGTCATGTGGAAGGGCAAATCAGCTATAGAAGATGCCTTATGTAGCTCTGGCATGCTCCTGGATTCCTCCTGCATCTCTGTGCTGTTGCCCAAAGACTGCAAAGGATGGAAACAGTGACCCACTAGGAGTAAATGGTTACACCCGTGTCTCTCAACAGCTTTCTGCTTTTGTTTGCTTTTGTTTTTTAAGGTTTGCAGTACGATTGGAGGGGTTATATATTCACTTTGGCTACTGAATTGAAAAAAAAATAGTAAAAACTTATTTCCTTGTCTTTTTATTTATTGGAACAAATGAAAAATTGCTTTTTGCCAGCATGGAGAATTCTATGCACTGAAAATAAAATGTTTTGTTTCAAGCAACTATATTTAAAAACAGAAATAGCAAAAGAGAGGAAATAGGAAGACAGGCTGAGAACTGATCTGAAGATACAGTTTCACCCAGCATCTCTGTAGTTAAAAACCTCACCAGAGATGTGGGAGACCTAGTGTTAGTTCTCTCCCTTCCTGAGCTGATCTGAACCCAGATCCCCATCCCACGAAAGCCACAGGGTATGCTGAGGTTAGGCAACTCCAATCTCTTCTTCTGCCCCTTCACTTGTACAAAGTAGCTGAACAGTCACATGAACTCCCTTTGGAAGGAAAAGGAGCATAATTTGACAGGCAGTTTTGGAAGGACCCAAACTGCATTTTTCTACCAATTCAGTACTAGGGCAGGGAATTCACCCAGCTCCAATTTTCAGTATGATTTTGGCAGTTCCCTGGGAACAGCTGTACACCCATTTCAGTGGTCTGCGGTGATCACATCTTTCAACAGCCTAGATCGGCCTAGTATAAGAGGAGATAACAGAGCACATGTTTTGTAGGCTTTCTTTAACACTCCTTGTTACTTTTGACAAGGATTCAGTACATCCCATCAAAAGTATATTTTGTGAATTAGTTAAATTCACAAAATCAGATTAGCTTCAGGGCCAGTTCACATGTACACAGTAACTTTTAACAACACAAGCAACATAACACTTTTCATTTAGCAACTGATACTTCTGCAATGCACTGGAAATGTAAAGCACTACATAAAGCCCAAGAAACAGTTTGAAGGGTAAACAGTATCTTATAGTCCAGCATAGCCATAAAATAATTCTCAGGTTGTAACACTAGTTATTTAACACTAAATTTATTGCAAAATACATGCTGGTATGCACAGCCCAGTGTTATATCTCCATCTCACTACTGAGATTATTTGTGATATTTAACATGCAATTAATCTAAAACTGTATTTTATTTGCAATGATCGTCTTTCAAAATAACAGTATATATAAGATACTCTTGTCAAGGACCTTCTGATATAAAACTAGCTTGGACTTTCAGTTCAGCCTGAAACATTTGCTTCTTAAAGTAAACGTAATTTTATTCTCTTGAATACTAACGTGGAAAGCAGGCAGAAAGGGAAAGTGCAGGAAAGCCTGTCTTCCAACCATGCTGACAGTATTAGAGCTATCTAGAACTGCCAAGAAGTATACTGAAAAGAATAAGGAATAGTTCACATTGTTTTGATTTTGAACAAAATTAACTGCATGTTCCTGTGCACTGGAAGCAGAAGAAAGAATATGTAGCATTCCATCCATATCAAAATTCCCTTCTGCAAACAAAAAGGCTCCATTCCCAGCTGATTTGGACCTGGTGATAGACCTCTGCATCACGAGTTCATAGACTTTTCCTTTTTTCCTGAACCAGCTACTGATTTATTTCCTTTCCTACTCTTCTTCTGTCCTGGCTTTTAAAATAGTTTTTATTCATTATGAGAGTAATTACTTACTATACCAATACCTTAATGCTAACCCAAAGCATCTAGCATTAGTTGGGACTAAAGTAACACAAGTAATTTTTATTTAAAAAAAAAGAAGTCTACTGATTAACCCCAATGTTTGTAGCACATGATGCCTTCAGTTTTAATTGTGTGATGGGGAATTCAAAATGTCTATCCAGATCATGAAGAAACACAAGTACATTCTTTTTAATGATTATGGAGATTCAGAAAACAATCTGTTTATATGCTGTCATCCTAACACTCAGAAACATTTGTCCAAGTCACACTAGACCAGAGGGAGCAACTTTCCAAGACAAGAAAACACTCTAAAATTATTCAAAGTGATATTTGTGACATTTCTAGAGTCTAATGACATTTCCAGTCTTTCCTTAGTTAAGATAAGCAGGTACAAAAGAATGCAGCAACGTTGCTTCATGTATCATCTTAATGGAGTAGAAAGAACAGATTAGTAGTTAATGTCTCTGCCATTCTTACAAGCAGATAAGTATCTCCTTACTCATGAGCAGTCAGGCTTTTTCCAGCTATTTTTACATTTCTTTGGTTTAGTTTAGCAGGATGATTATTCCTGGGGCTCTTTCAAAGCGCAATATTGATAATTAACTTTCTTTGTGCCTTTTTACATCTCTGCTAGGAGTCTGTAAACTGAGAATGCTAAAGGCTGTTTGACAATTTCCCATTTCTCTAGGTCAAATGCGACCTGGAAGAAAGTTGTGGCAATTTTGCTTTTCTTTTTGATGTGAATACCTTTGCAGCCTGGACAATAACAAGATTCTGAAATAACTCACAATTGGAGAATACTCCATTCTTAATCTGGCCTTGAAACCTTTTTGAAACAAAACTCATTAAGTTGCACTGATCGATACATAAGTTTTGCACAGCTGTTTCCTAGGGACCTGGGGGCCAGGTTAGTTACTTCCTAAATCATAAGGTACCACCAGCAGAGCTGCAGCCCCATCAGAGAGCAATATCCTGTTCACAACTACACTTAAGAAAACTACAAGTGAAAAAGCATTAGAAATTACTGAAACACTTCTCAGGCAGTCTTGTTTAATTACAACATTTGTTTGGCCAGTATGTAACAGCCTGCTGACAACACTTCAGCACTGCATCCTCCCTTCAAAGAGTAGATCTGAGTATTGGTGTGTTTGGGTCTGTCACTGCCTTGACAAACACAATGAAATTCACATGGTACCTTCACTTTGTGTAAAACAGAATAGTGGAAATGGTTGTGGGCAAGGAGCCTACAGCACAGACAAATGGAAGACTCAATTCTACAGCAAGAACAGCACAAGTACATTCCTGCAGCATCCCTCAGCTTAGAGACTGCAATGTTCCAACACTAGTAGACACACGGGCAGGAGAAATGTTATTAATTATCTTTTCAAGATTACCAGTAGCATAACACTATATCTATTTGCTATATGCTCTGCCACTATGCCACTTACCAATTTGCAGCTCTGGGTACATTTCATACAGACACCAGTCCACGTTGCAGTCGCAATGGGTTTTCTCAAAAAGATTGTCCAAAACATCCCGTGTCACCTGACGCTCATCCACCATTAGTGACTTTGTGCTGTTATCATACATGTGCACCTTGACAACAAGCTGAGTACAGAGTCACAGAAGAGTCAGTTAAATTCAGAAAAGGCTAGTCTGAATCTGCTAACACAGATAAGAAAAATTAAGGCTGAAGGTTATTACTGATTCAAAGGCACCCTGTCCCACAGTAAGCTGAGGGAATAAAACAGCTTGGAAGCTTTCACATTATATTGCCACCAAAATAAAGACCTTTTCTCAAAAAGGAAATTGAACCTTGTCCTGTGCATGACTTCAGGAAAGGTGAAATCGCTAGGGAGAAAAAGCAGAAGTTAATCTCTTCTCTAAATCTACTAGATGTGCAATTAAGGAAAATGCTTGATAGGGAAACCAAGTACAAAAGGACAGAATATCCTTAATGCAAGCTAGAAATGTGGAAAGTTTAGTTTTAAATGAGAAAAAGAATGGAAGAATCTAGAATCTTGCCATGCCAACAGACTAACCTGAAATCAGATTGTACTAAGATGGGCAGTAGTCCAACACCCATCAACAGGAAAAGAGATTAATTACTTATATTGACAAATTAACCTAATACACTAATTATTTCTTCATATTGTGACGTATCTGTTAAATGAGAAACAGCGTGCACTTTTTTTCAGAGAGGAACGATGCAAGAAAATGCTGAAGTACATAAAAGTGATGAAGAACTGCAAATACGTTATAAGGAAAGTACTTAAAATACTCCATTAGTTGTGAAAACAGAAGAAAAACTGCCTACAGGATCTGTACATGGAAACTGGAACTAAACTGGTGAGTTGGGAGGACTTGTTTAAATAGCTCCTTATTTTAAAATGTGTGCATAAGAAGCTTTGGTACTATAGAGACAATCTCTGTTAAGGATCAGGTAGAAGCAGACAGTGATGATCCCCAAGAGAAAATCTACACTATCTCTGAAAAGTAAAAGCAAACGTAACAAAAAACCCGAACTTGCTTTGATTCCAGCCCTTCTAAGTAACTTCCTCTCTAAAATAAGCAACTGAGCCGTAGTGCAGATTATAGAGAAACAGAAATGTTGTACATGCATAATCTACAACATATCTGGGGCAAAAAGGGTATTTTTGTCTGGTTATAGTTGACTGCTCAGAACATGTGTGCAGCTTCCATCTTCACAGAATCACAGAACGGTTGAGACTGGAAGGCACCTCTGGAGGTCATCTGGTCCAATCCCCTGCTCAACCAGGGCCATCTACAGCCCATTGTCCAGGACCCTGTCCAGATGGCTTTTGAGTATCTCCAAGGAGGGAGACTCCACAACCTCCCCGGGAAACCTGCGCCAGGGCCTTATCCCATGGGACTCTTCCAAGCAGAACTCTGAAGAAGCCAAAGTCTGCTCTCCTGAAGTCCAGGGCTGTGAGCTTGCTTTTCACCGTCCTCCCTGGCTTCTGCCCTCCACTTTTGGTAAAAGAGAGAGGACCAGTTTTCTTGACAATTATTTAGTCAATTTAGAATTCAAGAATGACATGGTAATTTCATTATAGTGACATAGCCACAAGAAGATTAAGGCTTACTTCTACTCTATGGTTCCAAATATTCAGGGTGGGGAAAAAAAAAGTGAAAAAAAAAGAAGTCTTCAAAATAAATGTTTCCTTACAAAGGAGAATTGCTAACGTTGCAACGAAAAGAGGGTGACCAATGAGCAGTCATAAGCTATAGAGCTTTCCAAAGACAACACTGGTGAAATCCTCCCAACACATTCTCTCAGAAGTAGCATTTGTACATGAACATAAAATGTTCTGTGGGAACCATCTCAAGTCTGGACACCCCCAAGTTTATTGGAAGCTTCAATTCTTCTTGGAAGCTCTGATCTCCAGCACTTCCCATCTCCTATTTGAGAAAGGCTGAAAGGTCATGACCGTTTTTAGTTCACATCCATTTTTCAGTTACTGAATATCTGCAGCTTCTGTTGAGTTCAGCTGGAACACTAGCTTAGGATGAGTGGGCATAATTACATGACACACTGCAGCACTGTGCAGACACTGTCTGGAAGCTTTCTAATTTGTTAGTCTAAAATAATTTCTATTCTCCTTGTACATTACTACACTGCTGCGAAAAGATTTAGCAAGACGACCCTCATTAATTTAATTGGGATTAGCTAAATCCACATCCACTGTAGAAGAAAAGTTTAATACTTCTGGAATCAGCACAGCATAAGTAAGCAACATTTTTACATACATTCCACTTTCTCTAAAACAACTGAACAGTGCACTTTGCCCCAACATTGGAAAAAAAAGAGGCAGAGCCTTCCAAGTCCTCTAAAAAATATGTCCCTCAGAGGCAGCATTCTCCTGGAAACTTCTCTTCAGGCAGATGACAAGACAGCTCCACAGAATATCTTTAGATGAATCAAGTTACAGACAAAATATGAAAAAGCCTAACGATTTTATTAAGAACTTTATTATTGAGAAGAATTATAATAGATACTTAGCTGTTATGGTAGCTCTTCATTATTTTAAGGCTCACCTTTTTAACTTTGGCTTCCTTCAGTTTCTCCAGTGCAAGTTTAATCTTGTCAGCTTTAGCCTGTGCTTCTTGTTCCTCCTGAAAAGACACAAGATATTTGGTATACTTCTTGTTAAGGCCAGCAGTTTATGTTTACTTGAAAAGAGTTGTTTCTTGTTATTTATATCCAGAACATAAAGCCTGTCATAGCTAATGTCCTCCAGCCAAAGCTTTGATTTACAAGTCCAGCGATTCCTTTTGTTGCCCAGGCATACAGCTCTTACATGATCTGTTCCTCAAATGCTACAGGAATGC